TTGGCCTCTAGCCTGTAGTGCCTCCCAAGAAAACTGATTTCTGAAGAGCACTATTGTGGTAGGATATGTTTGAAAATATGCACTATACATGTAAATTGGTTTTGAAAGCAATCTGAACTCCTTGGAGGAGTACTTACATTTATGTTAGTTATTGTAGTGCTAACAGCAACCACCGAGATAGTATAAGCTTTTATATTCCATAATTATTTTACAATTGCCAATGACTACTTCCAGGCAATAGTAACACCATACCCCCCAAAAGATACTTCTCAAGTGTACTAGTAGATGAGGAAAAGATATAAATTCATCCTCATTTTTCTCTATGAGAAACACTAAGATACTCAGGGTAACTTAACAATTCAATTTAGCACTAGAAAAGGCCCCTTGAGTCCCTTCCACACCCCCATAGCCCGGCTCCGAGCAGAAATGATTAAAGGGGCCTTCTTTTAATTACCCCTGCTGTATAATCCTAGACAGCCCCACAGTTCCTATGAATTTGAATTAAAGGGTTTCCAGCAGTAAGTCTAATGTACACGGCTTTGATTGACACCTTGTCTGCCAGCCTCAGAAAGTTGTACAGAGACAGAAAATACAGACCATTCCGAAGAGACCAAGAGGTTTTCATTAACAGTCACATGTGCCGTGCAATTTACAAGGTCTCATGCCCTCTCTGGAAAAACCAGCGGCCTTAAAGAACCCATGGGGCCTTTTGGCAAGCCCAGCTGGAGAGAGACACATGTAAGCATGGTGGCCAAAAGAGCCTTGGGTTTTCTCTGTTCATCTGCCTGCATGGGCTGAATTTCGGGGGCTCTCTGTCCCAGCCCAGAAAACAAGGCCAACAGGCATAGGCCACAGAGTCGCTGATTTGGTACAGCACAGATGTCAGAGCAAGCGGCCTGCATTTAAATCCTGGCTTTGCCAATTTCTGGCTCTGTGACCTTGGCTACACTACTTAACCTCTTCATGTCATAGGTTCCCCATCTGTTAATGACAATAATGCAAAGCCTTACTTAATAAAATTGCTATGAGGATTAAATAGCTTTGAATAATGCTTATCACACTGTTAGGGCTTGAATGGGCAAGATGTCTCTCTGTTCCCAAAGTCAGAGGGACAGGCTACTATTTAATTCACTTAACAGACAGACTGATTAGAATTCATTACACAACCGTGTGTGGAGTTTTTATAAGGATGATCATATAACATTTGGTACAAGGGCTTAGATAATCAGGCTTTCAGATAGAAGACCCTCATTCAAAGAATAGATAGGAAGGGATTGCAATTAGCACCCGCTGATGCAATGACAGGGGTCCATTCACCTCCCCGTGCTGTGTGTAAGCCAGACCTGCAGTGAGGTGAGCCGTAAAGCATTGTACACCATGTGCCGCTTACGGGAAATTGTCTCATCTCAGTTCTTTTCCCTTGCCTGTCTTTTAGTTTTCCTTTGTTCCTGTGGGTAGGAATGAACTTCCATCCAGTCCTCTGTGAGCTGTAACTCTCTACCTTCTAGTGTTGGTTCCTGTGGAGATATTTTCAGTTACTTTGGAGCAGGACTTGAGGAAAGATTTGTCTCACGTGTTCTCATGGGCAAAGCATCAACTCCATTCCCAGCTTCAATTAGGAACACCACATTAGTTTAGTCCTTCATTATTTACTTTCCAAGACCATTCTGTGCATACATAACACCAAGGGAAAGAGAGAATAAAAAAATAAAATAAAACATGGACCCTCTTTCCCCAAGTGAATTTATAATTTCTAGGCAAAACACAGAGGTATGGGGTGTCTCATGAATAAAGAATAAGAGACATCGAGTAAGAGAAAAAGAGAAGAAATGCTGATCAGAGAAGGGAGACTCCGCGATAGCTAGAGCTGAGCTCCTGGGGAACGGAGCAGCCAGTGGGGGTGCCGAAAGCAGCGCTGGAACCATCCCTGAGCAAGAGCCGCGTGGGAAAGAGGTGAACAGCCTCTCTACGCAAACACCTCATGTAGTTATAAATGTCTCTTTATGATGGGGGAGAGAAAGATATTCCACATGGAGGTCTCTACGTGTTATCTTTGACCAGTTTGTTTGAGAATGACTTGTCTTTCATTTTCCCAGGCAGCTTCATTCGCATTTAAGAGATTTCTCTAATGCAAGGCTCTGGCTTTCAACTCCCGCAGGGGTTTCAGGGCAGTTTGAAAATGAGAAATATAAAAATGCATTTCTCTTAGAAGTACATGCAAGTCCAAAGGCTGATGAGAGAGGCAGTGTGATTTCAGGAGGAGTAAAGGGGAGACATCTTTTACTGTCCTGTCTGCAGGAAGCTCATTGGCTCTTGAAAGGTCATTGCGCCGATGATGTGAACGAGGCAGAGTGAAACTCTTGTCGGAGCTAGTTCTTCACAGCGCCGTTTACAATAGCAAAAGTCTGAAAACAACCTAAGTGGTGTTTGCACCGGCAGATTAGATACATTAGAGTAAACAGTCACATCTTTTGGCAGGTTTAGGTTCTAAATTCAAAGGGATTGTCAAGTAATGTCAAAACTACACTAGAATATCCGTACTGTGTTCTTTCTTTGCCAGCATCTAGGCCCTAGGAAACACAAAAGCCACAGGGAACTTGTGTCATTTCCCTTCTTTTCAATTGTCTCCCGTTCCCTTGGAGGGAAGCCATGCTTAGTTTAATCAGGAGGATGGGCTCAGGCAGATCTCAGAGGGGAGGTGTGTCGGCGGGGACTGGAAAAGCTTAGTCAAAGAACATGTAAACATAGGTCATGGACACAGACAAAATGTGGTGAAGGCTGGTGGGGGGTGCTGAGTGGAAGGGGGTTAAGAAGGGGGACATGGGGGACATCTGTAATAATGTCAACAATAAAAATAAAAAATATATATGTGTATATATATATCTACATATTCATATATGTAGTACTTTCTCTGCCTCTTTCTTTTGCTGTCTGTTCCCTCCCTTCTTCTCCCCTCGCCTCCCTTTCTCTACTCCTCCCTTTTCTCTCTCTCTCCCCTACATTTCTCTTTCCTCTCACACACATCCCACCAACACATACAATTTACTTTTGTACATTAAAGAAGTCTAGGATTCACCTCCAATCTATATTCTTAGAGTAAAATGATACTTAGCTATGTGAGAAACTGATGGTGTGTATTGTTAACTGCATCCTCTCAGACAAACAAACACAAACAAACAAGGCGCGGAACAGTGTACATAAGCTAACATTTATGTAAACGCCAATCTGTGGGCTGAATGTTTTTGCCCCCTCTCAAATACATATGATCGAGCCCTAACCACGAAACTGACAGTATCTGGAGACGGAGTCTCTGGGAGGTAATTAGGTTTAGATGAGGTCAGGACAGTGGACTCCCAGGATGGGTTCAGTGTCTGAATAAGAAGAGAAACAGACCAAAGTTCACTCTCTTTCTACCACGTGGCAGGTGCTCAGTGCTCTCGCCCCTTTCTTCCTTCTCCCTTTCGTAATGGGGGTATCTACCTTACGCCTAGCCCACTATTTTATTTTGGTTGCTCATGGTTAATCTGGTTTGACGAGTTCACAGAACAGAGAAATTGTTCATCAGTGTGAATCATACCTTGATTCTCATCTGTATCTGATTTGAATTACACTTGATGAGACACTGGACTTTAGACTTTAGAGCTGATGCGGGAACAAGTTAATACTTTTGGGGCTCTTGGGATGGAATGAATGTTGTTTGTGTGTGAGTAAAATATGAATTTTGGGAGGTCTGGGATGGGAATGTCGTGGACTGATTGATGGCCCCCAACTCACCTGCTGAAGTGCTAATCCCCAGCGATGGTGTTCACAGGTGGGGCCTTTGGGAGGGAGTGGGGGTTAGATGAGGTCATGAGTGTGAAGTCGCCCTGACGGGATTAGTACCTTTATAAAAGGAGAAGAGAGACTAGAGCTCTCTCTTCCAATCATGTGAGGACACAGAAATAAGCAAGTCTTCTGTAATTTTCTGCAGTATTTTTTGAAATACTCTGGCCTTTACCACGAGGTAAATACGCCAGCCCTCTTTGATCTTGAACTTCCCAGCCTTCAGAACTATGAGAAATAAATGTGATATTTAAGCTACCCAGTCTATGTCTTTTTGTTAAAGTAGCTTAAAGCTGACTAAGAGTATATTTGACAATGCATAGAACATTTCTGGAAAGTTAAGTAAGAAATTACGAATATTGGTTGCATCCCACATGATAAGGAGAAGGTCTAGGGAACTTGAACTCAGAAGTGAGAGGAAGATCTACTTTTAGACTAAATAAGATCTACTTATTTACAAGAAAAACCTTATTTGAACATGGAACAAATGTGTGCATAATGCTTTTAGTAATAAAAGTCACTATTAAAATTTTAAGTGTCTGTCGCACAAGTCACATCAAAATATAACGAAACAACAGTTACAAAGCCCCTGCTGTTCAGTAATTTCAATAATCTATTTTGGGTTCATTAAGTAATTTATGACACCACTTTAATATTCTCTTAAAATGTTTACTACTCCAATGCCATTTCCTGCCCTGGGGGGTGTGGGCGTATGTCAATAAGAACAGACCTCCTGTGAGAGCGCTGGGTGAGAACATGAATCCAGTGCTTATTCACTAGGTGATATCTTAACATTGCAGCAAAAGAAAGCGAGGCTTTTTTAACAGTCGAGTCCTATTCCAGAAGAAAATTTTACCCTCTGTGACAGCATGGATGGACCTGAAGAACGTTATGCCAAGTAAAATAAACCAGTCGGAGAACAACAAATACCATATGATTTCACTCACATGTGGAATCTCATGAACGAACTGAGCTAACATGCAAATGGAGACAGACTTATTGATAGAGAGCAGGGCGAGAGCTACAAGGCGTGTGGGGGAGGTTAGGGGGTGGATCGATTGAGCAAAAAAGAAAAAGGATTCATGGGCATGGACAACCGTGTGGTGATTGCAGGGAAGGGGGATATAAGGAAACTAAATGGTAACATAAAAATACAATAATTTTTTAAAGAGACTTACCAATAGAACCTGTTTGGTACAACCCCTTCCTGGATAAGCTGCCACCTTCTCCCAAATTCAGCAGAGCTGTATAACTATAGAGAAAAGAAATTACTTGGCACCATGACCCTATGGTACATGGAATACACAAATATCAGTTCATCAGATCAATAATAATAATAACAGTACCTACCATTTATGGAGCACCTGCCACATGCCAGGTGAACACTCCACACGTCATCTCTACTCCTCACATATGTTTTGCATGGCAGATATTAATATTCCCATTTCACAGGTAAGGAAACTGAGGCTTGGGAAGATTAATTGTTGGAAATCACATACCCTCTACATATTGGACTGGACTGTGATTCGCATCCTGTTCATCCTGGTGACAAAGTCAGTTGACCCACTTGACCTAGCACATCCGGGTCATTGTGTGGGATATGCAGAAATGCTAACTCTAGACCTGGCTCTCCAAGAGCAGAGAAAATACCTCAAATCTGACTAAAATAATGAGAAATGCACGAGGCAGCCAGGTACAAAGGGATGTGGAGGGAATAGACTCAGCAGTCAATCAGGGAAGCTTCACAGGCATTGCAAAGACTCAGTCGGGACCTGAAGGAATGACAGCATTCACTCTGACAAAAATAGGACAAGCACAAAGGGAACAACAGAGGTCAAAGTGGTGAGATAAGCAGAAACAAGATATGAATAAGGTTGGCTTATCTAAATAAGTTTCGATGAAAATGTTGAGGGAAAGGCTTTGGATGGCAAGCTAGGGAGACTGGCATATATCCTGCCGGCAAGAGGAGCCGGTATTGGTCTTTTCAACAGTAACGAGAACTTCAGGCTATAAAAGGAGCCGGCACTGAGTAAGTTCTTTCTTAACCATCCAAGTACTTCTTATGTACTATTTCCTTTAACCCATACAACATCCTTGTGATACATGAAGTTATTATGACCATTTACAGTTGGTGATATAGTTGGTAAGAGTTCAAGTCCATTTGTTATACTGTTAGTCCTCCCCAAGGGCAACTGCATAGAAACACTGCCTATGAGACAGGATCTAACCTTCCACTACTTCATCTTCTTTTACATCCAGTTCTTCCTTGCTCACATGATGCCCCTGGAACCCTCTTGTGCCCCCAGAAGTGTCCCCTGATGGCAGCCAAGAGATTCCCATTGCTGTCGGCATTCTGGGGCCCTCTGGTCATTTGGCTATTGTCTTGAAATTATCATCTGGAACATCTTCTTTCCGCTATGTGCCTGGCTGTAACCCATTCACAAACCCCAAACTTCCACCATTGTATTTCCCCAACCTCAGAGTGAATGAGTAGTGAGTCACTGTGTACCGAGTACTTTGATTGCTGGGTCTCGTCCTCTCTCTCCAGCCCCAGCACTCAGAGAAGAGCCAAATGGCTCACCCAGTGAATCACTGAGGCTACAGATACACCATGCATGTCCAAGGAGCAAGGCAGCTCAAGTGGGTAAGTACTGACATTTGAAAAGGCTTTCTATTCCATTGTGTTCACTGGATCAAAATACATCCTACCCACCCCCACCCCAAATAGCTGAAATATCTGGCTCCTAAAGCATGCAATTCAACTGGCTCTAACTACAAAGTATCTGGGCATCCAGATAAAGAGAATCTGTGGCTTTTTTCTTTCAAGTCTTATTATTCTTTTCTGCCCCACCATGTCAGGGGAAAAAAATTGTCCTGGGCACGTTTCATGCTTGATTCATTTTAAAAGTGCTAGGCAGAGAAGTAGACACAACTCCCTTTATAAAGATAATAGAAGATGGGGCAGCTCACTCTTAATACAACCCCAAGGAGCCAGAGTACCCATGTCCTGCTTCTGAATCCCCAGCATGTCCTGAATACCTTGCATTTTAACATGCAGACTGATATAGCGGCAGCAATATACCAGGGACTGTATGACTCTTCCTCTCCCCTTACTCTATCTTTTTTTTTTTAAACCCAGAACCACACTGTTTTGCATGAATTTAAAGGGAACAGAGTTCACACCATTGTGTATGCCTCTGTCCATATGTAAATGTATATTAATATCTCTATATACAAATATTTATGCCAATGCAACAGCATCACAACAGTTTAAAATAATAATTTTGTGTGAAGGCCAATTCACACGTATGCTGCTGATCACATATAAACTCTGAGAGCTCACCGGGCTACACCAAGTGATGGCTATCCCTGCTCCCTTATGGAATTCGTCTCCATGAGGAATTGCTGGGTGTCAACATCTGCGTGTGTGTGTATTTTTCCCTTCTATGTCTTGTTAAATTGATCCCCTCAGGCTTGGATGCAAACCTGTGTACCAGTCTGCTATGTCCCATAATATTTGTTTTTATCTCCTTCAAGGGGCTGCTTTGTTATCTGTGAGCATCCAGAGGCCTCTCAAGCAGTGGGTATACTGAATAGCCCAGTGAAACAAGCTTCTCTTATGCAGCTCAGGGACATCCTCTTCAGGGTCCCCGTTAGAAAGATACCCTTTGTCTCCGCTCCTTCCCACTCGCACACGGGCACGTTCTCCCCGCCACGCCTCCATGGGCCCCACCCGCTCCAGCGGAACTGGCTCAGAATGTGCCCACCTCAGTGACTGCCGTTCTTCTCTTTAGGCCCAGATCAAGGCCACCTTCTCCGTGAACCCCCTCTTACACATTACCATTTGCAATGGCCTCATTCCAAAGAACTATGGCACAAGAGCAGTTGCTGTCACATTATAGGACACATATTTATATTTAACTTTCTTAGTAGCCTTTCAAGAGAGCCCTCTATGAATGCAAGGCAGAAACTCCATCCTATCGAAATATCATCCTAAAATATCTGAGACTACTCAATCGCAGAGCTTTTATGTCAGGAATCCCATCCCTCCCTATCTCCACAGTGCCTAGTACATCGAAGATGATCAAGGGGAAAAATGACAGATTTTACAGCACGCAAATCCCTTAGTGATGAGTGTACCTAGTACAGTCCCCGGGTTTCTCAATGGATGGACAAAAGTAATTTATCAGAGGAATATGCTGTGCTTCCATAGACCACAATAGGGGCCTGTACCTAAACAAACAAACAAAAAGCGAACAAACAAGAATTACCTTTGAAACTCTCAAGGATTTGCAGCAAGCAGTTCTTGCATATTCATTCACACCTAGACAAAGCTCTGTATCTTCCACCTACCACTTCAAAGATTCCCCCCTAAGAAGCTAATCGTCCAGCCTGGTGTTCTCCCAAGAAAAGGAGAAAATGACTCACAGTCATTCAAGTTAATGTGTTAATTAAACCTGCAGAGTCGGACAGGAAAGTTCTCCGCAGAGCAGGGAATGGTATCAAAGCCTGACTGTCTCCGCAGCAGTGGGAGGCTTTGCGTTAAAACGAGTCAATATCCTTTAATAATATTCACGGAGTCGGCAGCACCTGAGGAAGATCCTGCCCTTCCCCGCGTGTCCCTGGCTCCCGTTTCTATGACTGTCTGAACACAGAACTGAGAACTGTCCTCGCTGTGTGTCACTTCCTGAGACTACAGAGGGTTGCGAGAGGACAAGGGAATACCTGAACCAGTCTCAGGAGAATGAGGTCCACCTGCGGACCTCTGTCACTTGTGGAGGCGTTTGCATTTTGGTTTTGTTTTGCTAACGCTGCTACAAACTATTGAGGGAAAGACTGAAGGAAGTGAAAGCTTATAAAGAGAAGGGGGAAAGATTCAAGGAAAAACATCCTTTCTGCCCAAAATCACTCTAAACTTTCTGGGGCCACTTCCCTGCCTCTGTGAGTGGGGCTCAATGGGCTCAGACTCAATGCTCAGCTATGCTCAAGACCTATTAGCAGATTTAGGGCCTAACCCTCCATTCTGCCATCACGCTGGTAGGGAGCTGTCAATTCTCCTCCCTGCCATGCCCCTCTCCTGAATAGTGTTCCTCTGTTCTTTCTTTCTGTCTTATTTTTTGACATCTTTCACATTGGCTTGTTTTCTTGTCATCTGCTTTTATCTGCTATAAGAAAAATACAGATAAAAAATACAGTTAACTGCAAAAAAAATCCTCACTTGAGGATATATTTCTTGATTTTAGAGAGGAAGGTGGGGCGGGGGGAGACGGATAGATAGACATATCAATGTGAGAGAGAAACATCGATTGGTTGCCTCCCGTACGTGCCCCAGTTGGGTATCGGACCCACAACTTAGGTATGTGCCCTGACTGGGGATCGAACCCACAACCTATTCTTTGTGTATGGGACAACACTTCAACCAACTGAGTCACATGGCCAGGGCTGTTATGAGCTTTTAATCAATTGTTCAGTCATCTCTGGGGCCACCCTTATGACGGTGAGGGTTACAGGGTCCAAAGAAGCAAAAAGAAGCAAAAAGAATGCCACCTGGGGTTGGGAAACAGACTCATCAGCTTCGCTCAGGGTATCTAACCTACAGCAGAATAAGATGGAGTGCAAAAAGGGGGTATGAAAGCAGCTGTTTCCAACTTGCATTTTCCATCTTCATACCATTCACATTTGGTTGAATCCCTAGAAGAGTACCCTCCTTCGCTGAGGAGAAATTCAACTTCCGAATGTTGATGCGAAAGCTCGCTGTGCTCACAGTCCCTGGAAAGTCTCAATATTCCTAAGTGGGATCAATACAGCCCCTCTTTTCAGATTGGCACACCAGTACCCATTAGGCATTTCCTTTTGCAGCTAGGAAATCGGTCCAAGGACACAATTCCATAGAAGGTAAAAATGATAACATGTTTTAAGTCTTCGGTTGATGGGATTGGAAGCGATTCACCACAAAGCGCCCTGTGGCGACTTCCTCGGTCAGGAGGCAGGTCCCCGGGTCTCCTCTGCACGGGCTGCTTGAGAGGCTTCCACCTGGCGGAACACTTCCTGCTGTCGGCTCTTTTCAAGGTTGCCTGCTCCCTCCTCTCGGCTTCTCTGCCCTCAACATTGCAGAGGCAGGGGGCCTGCAAATTGCACTTCTTGAAAAGGCTGACAGAAAACCCTGCCAGTTCTGTTTTATTTGCCTCATCCTGACTCGGCCCTGGGGGTGGCCTGGGTACGGAGCTCTCATCCACCTCATGATTCTCACCA